GGGCGGTGTCGCCCCCCCTCCGCAGGGCACAGGACCGGCTGTCGGGCGTGCGGAGAGCAGGCCTCGCTGGAAACCGAAGGGCGCTCGGTCCTGGGCATCCCCGAACCGGGCTCGCCGGGAAGCCTCGCTGTTCTCGCCGCCCCGGTTACGGTTCTCGCCGCCCCGGTTACGGCCGGGGCTTCCTCGAGGCCCCGAGGGCACACAGAGCGCTGGCCCCGATGCGAGGCGCCGGCCCAGCCTCGAACTGAGCAGCGCGTGGATGCCTCGGAGCCGCGTGCTGGGCCCGGCGCCGTCGGTCGTGCCTTCCCCGGAGGCTTGGCTGGATTGTGGATTTTTTTATGCCAATTTTTCTGGCCAGGTCGGAAGTAATTGTTACATATAGATCTTCTGGGAGGAGTTGACATTCTTGTGTTGGTTAAGTGTAACAGGAAATACATAATTTTGGAACATTTATTCTTTAAAGATTTTAAAGGTAAAATGCCGTCACGGGTAAGTCTGCTTGGCAAGACTACTTTCCGTCATTCAGGGAGTCTCATTGCCAGTTGGGGGCTTTTTTGTGCCTCTGCGTCAAGAAAGGCCTTTATTTTGAGGGAAACCTGTGGGCAGCACTGGCGGGGACACATCCTCGCGTGTCCTCAAGTGGAAGTGACTTTCATAAAGCGAGTCCAGACATGTCTGGGCAGTTGCTAGCCTTTGTTTTTTTGTTGATTTTGCTGCTTTGCTTCATCAGGATGTTTTAGCGCCTTTCTCCTTTTCGTCTATAACCAACCAGCAGCAGTTTGGTATCAGAACGAGTTTGTGTAGGCATTGTGGTCTTCAAACAGTATTTGTTGCTGGCTAACACTGGGAGTTACAATTTGATAGCTAAACTTCTTTAAAAACTGGTTTTGTTTCTCTAGTTTCTCTTTTTTAAATGTCCATTTCCATCTTTGCTCTCTGGGTGTGTTTGCTTGATTTAATTGAGAGAAGTAATGCCTTTAGAGACCCTGACTTTTTTCATCTTAATCTGCATTGCTTTTCTTTCTGTTCTCAGGGCTACAGCAGACCTCTGCTCCACCATCAGATAGTGTAGTTTTTCGATAGTGGCTGCTGGAGGGTGCCATCGAGTCCTGAGACTGCTGGTCCCCCACTTTGCCCTTAATTGTGCTGTCTCCCCCCAGGTTTCGCTCTGCCGCCTCCTGACCCTGAGCTTAGTACGAAATTGTTTCTTGGTTGCAATGTCCCGGGGCTGTGCACTTATCAAATGTGTTAAAATAGACTTCTAACTTCTCACAAATTCACTTTAGTAAATTTTTTGCCCTGATGTACACATTTCTAATGCAGATGGGAAATCCATCAGCTTAAAATAGCCATATTCTGTTGACCAAGAAGAGAGGTTTTAATAATACTGAGAGTGGAGGGAATCGTAGATTTCGAAGCACGGATTCTAGTTTGGGTTAGTTAGAATCTTGGGGACTGAAAGGGTGTGCCGTGGTTCATCTGAGGGGTCAGGGTTACCGGTGCTATTGGTGGGAGGCGGCCACGGAGAAGCCTGAGGAGGCAGTGGGACCTTCTGGTCTTTCCGAGGGACGCAGAGTGGCAGCTCCCAGTTCTGTAACAAGAAGAAGGGTGGCCTGAAGACAAGGACCGAGTTTATGCTGGGGCTCGAGGCAGTGAGCCATTGCTGTCGAATGGCTGGGTGACCGATTTTGTGCAGATTGGTTCCTCCAGAAGGACGGGCGGTACCCTGACTTTGCAGGAGACTCGGAAGTATAGTCTGAAGCTCTGAGGTGGAGCCATCAATTCCGGAGCCCAGAGGGAGCAGCCGGGCACCCAAGCACTGGCAGCAGGCTTGCGGGGAGGAGGTCCGGGAAGGGGCCTGGCTGCGGGACGCCTCTGAACACCGGCTAGCTGATCTTCCCGTAGGAACGTCCTTTTTATCAAGAGGAACCATGGCCCCCCCCCCTTTTTTTTTTCCCTAGAGGGTGCATGTGCTCTCAGGAGAGAGACAGAGAGACAGGGAAGTGAGAAAGCATCCCTTGAGGGATGAGGGGTGGCCACATCACAGTCCCTTCTCCTCTATTCTCTTCGGATTTCTGCCCGCATGCACCTGTGCCGACAGTCTTCCAAGCTGCTGGGCCTGGGACTCAAACCAGGCAGTTGGCCACATGGGATCCAGCAGCCTTAACCCCCATGCCACCAGCTGGCCCAGTCTCTTGATTTTTAAGTGTTGATAATTCAATTTAAAAAACGAAGCAAAACAAAACGGTCTGGCGCGGAGGCCCCTCTGCCCTCTGCGTAGTCGCGGCTCCGCTGCCTGCATACCTGGCTCGCTGGCCGTTAGGACTTCCTTTCCCCTTTCAACTCTGGACTATTCCCGGAGGGTGTTTTTATTTTTGTTTTTTTGATATTTTAGTTACTTCTAGAAGTGCTTTAAGGATTCTGAGTTGACTCCTTTGCACTCTTGACATCACCTGGGTGGAAAAGAAGGCGTTGCTGAGAGTCTCAGCTGGTGACGCTCCGTCCCTGTGTGAGGCTCACCAGCCCATCCCCGGGTCAGCATGCCTGAGGGAGGGTCCGGACTAGGGGACCTGCGCGGTCCACTTCAGCCATGCACGCTTGATCTATTTAGCCCTGGGTGCGGTGCTTTTAATGCTCATGGGCCAGAGGGGGGGCGGCTGGAGCGGGCGGATGACCGAGGCCAGGTCTGTGAAGCTGTTCTGTGGTGGAGCAGATGTCAGTGGGAATTAGCAGACGGGGCGGCCGAGGCACAAGGAGAGCCGCCCAAGGTGCGTTTGGAGAAGAGGAGAGTGCCGGCACCATATTCCTGAGGTCTCCCTTTTAAAAGTAGTGTTTTTTGCTGTCACTTCAGATTTGAAACCTCGGCGTCTCAGCGCCCGCTGGATTATGCCCAAGGCTTTCCTACCCAATGATCCTCTTGGCACCTGCCGGGCGTCCTCCGCCTAAGCGGCCCGTGTCCTCTCCTCCTATGGCCGTGGCAGCCAGGTCTACAGGGTCCTTGCAGCTTCCGCCGCAGAAGCCTTTTGGGCCAGAGGCTCCCTCGGCCCTGGCCGGGGACGAAGAGCTAGCCAAGGAGGGGGAGCCGGACCCTGCGCTGGAGGGGCTGTGCAAACCTCTGTACTGCAGGCTCTGCAGCGTCACCCTGAACTCCGCCCAGCAGGCCCGGGCTCATTACCAGGTAAGAGCAGGGTGGGCGTGCAGGGGCGAGCTGCGGCCGCAGAGCCCACAGCTGCCTCCAGGGGTAACCGGTTTCGCTTGGTGGATCCAGATGGCTTGGAGAACAACTAAGTATTCATTTCTTTGACTAAAAAGATGTTTCTAATGTCAGGCAGCTGACATTTAGGGTGCTGGATCCCACATGGCCAGCTCCCCGAGCATCCAGAACCTGAGAGAATGAAGGAATTGAGGTGTGACCATTCCCCCCGGGGTGATTTCTCCACTTTCCCCCTCTCTCTCTCTCCTATGGATGTACATGCCCTATGGCAAAAATCGAAAAGAAAAAAGTATCACTTTTTTAAAACTTTTTTTAAAATTTAATTTTATTCATTCATTTATTTTAATTTGACCAGAGAGAGAGAGAAAAAGAGAAAGTAAAAAAGCAAGCTACCAGGTTTAGGACTCGAACCGTGGTCTGCCATGTGGGAGTGTCCAGCACCTTAACCACCATGCCACCTGCTGGTCCCCAAGTATCACTTTATCACTTTTCATAGAGTGAGTCTTCACCTACTGCACTTAGCTGTGTGGCTGCAGATAGCTTACCCGACTTGGAAGGCAGACACAGACCTGCTGGTGTTCGCATCCGTGGTCCTAAGGAGAAGAGGTGTTTGCCACGAGCCGTACCAAGTTGAATTCAGTGTAAAATTGTCGAGGCTACTAAAATTTGCGTCATTTGGGGGTCATCTCGGTGTACGGCTTTCACGGGTTTTATTTTCGACCTCTCTTTCCACGTAGCCTGTCAGGACTGAGGAAAACAACAGGTTAGTGTTTCCTAGTGAATGAATTGACGTTGGGATGTCGAGCCCTCTCTTACGTTCTAAATAAGCTGACTCCGACTTCCATTAGCTTGTACTGAAGTTTATTTATTTTTATTATTTTTTAAGTTTATTTTTTTCTCTGATGAAAAGAGAACAGCACCCCCAATAGAGTGTCCATGCTGCTAAAACCGAGCCCACCAGATCACGCTGTGTGCACGTGTGTGCACGTGTGTGCCGACCCAGCGTGCTAGTGAGGTCCTGGGACTTCTCTTTCTGTCCAGTTGCATTATCACTGTGCCGCCAGCTGGCCCCTTTATTGATTTATTAAGGTTTTTGCCGTAGGGTGCGTGCACTTGCCAGGCCTGGAGAGGGAGAGAGGGAGGGAGGGCAAGAGAGAAATCTCCCCTAGGGCAGGGCCAGGCTGCCTTTCTTCTCCATTCTCCTCTGGGATTTTGGGCGTGCACTCACATGTGCTCAGTGCATCTTCCCAGCTGCTGGGTCTGGGACTTGAGGTGCAGTCGGCCATGTGGGAATCCAGTGCCTAGCCACCATGCCATCTGTTGGACCCCTGTGTTTATTTTATTTTTTAAAAACTCACTTATCTGGCATAGTTTGTGAGTTCTTTTTTTTTTTTTTTTAGAGATTTTCACTGTAGGGCGCGTGCACTCACCAGACAGAGAGAGACATAGAGACAGAAAGCGAGAAATCACCCCCCAGGGGGGATGGTCACGCCGCAATCCCTTCTCCTCCATTCTCCTCTCGGGATCTTGGGCACGCACGCACACGCGCCCGGCGTGAGTTTTAAGCCACCGGGTCCGGGACACGAACCTCGGTCGACTACGTGGGAGTCCAGCGACATAGCCATTACGCTAACTGCTGGTTCCCTTTATTTTTAATATTTAGAACTTTTACCTCCATCTAGAATACCTAGTGGAAAGAACCATTTTAAAGTGTATTATTACCTAATAAGAAATGGAAAACTAAATTTTGGTTAGAGAGAGAGGGTACAGTATTTTCATTTTAGACTGTTATCTGTATTAAATGACATAATTTCCATTTTTGGAGAAAAGAGACCTGGGGAATAATCCAGGCTAGACTCACTGAGTGGGGGCTGCCCTCTGGGTGGCGCTGGTCTGTTTATTACCCATGTGGCTACCTCCAGTAAGGCAGTAGGAAGGACAGCTATTTATTATAAAAGTGTTTCTTCTGTTGTTTCTTTATAACTTTCTCCAATGTACAGTTTTTTATTCTAGAGAGATTTTGGTATAGGGTGCATGTGCTCACTGGAGGGACAGAGAGCCGGAAAGCGAGAAATCATCTCCTGGGGGATGGCCATGCCACAGTTCCTTCTCCTCCATTCCTCTCTCCTCTCCGGATTTTGGGCAGCACACACACAAACACCTGGCGTGAGTTTTAAGCCATTGGGTCTGGGACTGGAACTGCAGTGGACTATGTGGGGTCCAGCAATGTCGCCATTGCTCCACCTGCTGGTCCCAGCTTACAGTTTTTGCTTATTATGGACGTCAGGCGTTTCTGTTTTGTTTTGGTCCCGAAGACTGGCACTGCTCACCTTGTGACTGCGTAACAGAAGTATTCGTTCTTCGGGAACTCGGGGAGGTGGAGCTGTTTCCCTGTGGTTGCTGCCTGTGCGATTTTGCCCGCAGGTGCGGAGGGCGAGTTAGTAATGTCGTTTGGATCTGGGTGCATGCCATCCTGGATCCTTTCTAATTTCATTGTACGTTTCCTCCTCTTTCCTACCCCCTCGCACCCCTCTGTACGGTGGCTGGTACAGGCACTGTCTTCGCCCCTTTTACCACCAGGCGGAGTGTGTTGGGGTGATTCATCTCAAACCCAAGACTCACGCTAGCTTTCTTCGTTTGTTTCTGTGGAATGCTCAGTTTTTAGCTTAAAACTCATTTAGAAAAATCAAGCCTGATTCGACAGTTTTGAGTTTTGTTGAATATAAACCCCTAGTAAGTCATTAACTTGGGAGCAAACCCCGTTTTGCCATACATGTGTATAATTACCTTTTCTTTTTTTTAAAGTTTACTTTCGTTTATTTCTTCTATGAGCAAGAGAGAAAGATGAGACAGACAGCACCCCACAGGTCCCGATGCCAGCCCCCACTCTCAGCCGGACCTGGCGTCCTAGGTGTCCTGAGCCGGGTGGACTCAGGGTGGTCTCTGGACCCGCACAGGAGCCTCCCAGTGTGGGCTTGCCGGGCAGTGTTACACCTGCTGCTGCATGGTCCTGCCTCCCAGTACTTACCTTTTAAAGAAGAGTTGTTTACTTTGATGAGGGGCAGTTCTTGGGAAGGGAGTAATTTAATATGTTTTTACATGGATCATACATACATCTGCATCATTTTCCCCCAATACCACTTTGTGACTCTAAAACCTCAATAGATGCTTCTAGTTGTGTGTGGAGAGGGTTCAGTTTGATGGAAGGTGATGAAACTAGGTAAGGAATAGCAAATTAGAAATGTAACAGAAAAGTGCCTTAACCACCCTGCTACCCCGGCCCCGCCTGCAGTCTGTGATGGGCTCTCAGTGTTGCCGCTGCTGAGACTTCACTGGTTCCTGTCTGCTGTCTCCCCACTGTGTCGTTGGTCTGTCCTCCTTTGTCCCGTTTAACTTTCACCCTTCGCCCTCCCCCGGGCCTCTGGCTTGGTCTTTGATCTGCAGTCGCATGGCATACCTGGGGACACTCACTCACACCAAGCTTGTGCTGAAGTTTCCCCAGTCATTTCTTAGTGGGTGAGGCTCTAGTAGGTTCCTCCAAAGGACTTACAACGTTGGGTGTCGGCTGAGCGGAAAGTGCTTGTTTTTCTTTTCTTCTGGTATATTAACTTTTGCTACTTTGCTTCATTTTCTGTTAACCTCCCAGTTGCCAAAAGATGCCTCCTTCCACCCCCCACACACTTTTTCTTTTTCATAAACCTCCGGTAAGATAACACTTCAAATCGGTAAGATAACACTTCAAATCGTGTGCATTTAAACTCCTTTCACCAGTAAGTGTTCCCACAGGGCATGCTGTAGCACTTTCAAACTCAGGTCTTCGTCTGGCCATGGTTTAGGTGTTGAAGGCCGGAGGCCGGCTCAGCCCCGCTCTCATCGGTCAGGCTGCCCTTTCTCACTGTGAAGGCTGTTAGGAGCATGAGTGATTGCTCACGGGTGCTTTTTGATATCTGGGCATCCTGTGGTTCCAGTTTTATAAAGGGCATGGTTTCTGTGTAGTTTTGCTTGTTTTTCTTACTGTTCTGCCTTATTTGTAGAGAATATATGAAGAATACGAGACTATATCGAGGCCCCCATTATCTCGCTGTCTAAAGCTCTTAGACAAATATTTTACTCCCTGCCTTTTCAGGGACTGTGGTTTGGAACCATGCGACTGCTGGCATCACCCATGCTGTTGTTTCTTAGTGACTCTTCCCTTTCGTTATGCAAATAAGCCTAAGTAAAATCCATCTTTTAAAACTTACATTGATCCCATTTCTTCCTGTAACTGTGTCTCATTTCCTGCTCCTTATACAGTAAAACTGTATATAGTTCCTTTTTTCTCTATTTTTTTTGCTATGGGGGGCATGCACTTGCTGGAGAGAGACAGAGACAGCGAAAGCAAGACATTACCCCACAGAGGGGATGGTCACAGCACAAACCCTTCTCCCATTCTCCTCTTGGGATTTTGGGCACACACACATGTGCCCAGTGTGATTTCCAAGTTACTAGGTCTGGGACTCGAACTGTGGTCAGCCATGTGGGAATCCAGCATCTTCACCACCAGGCCACCTACTGGCCCCTACGTCATTTCTTGTACTGGCTGCTTCTGTCTCCACGCCTCTCACCGTCTCCTTACACTACGCCTCATGACTCTCTCTTACTGTTCTGCTAAAATGATTCTTAGTAAGGCCAGTCTTGACCTCTTTTTAAATCCAAGCATCACCTCTTGATTACATTTTAGTTTGCTACAGGGCAAGTGTGCGTTGCCAGAGAGAGACAGAGAGAGGCAGGGAAGGTGAGAGAGCACACCCGGAGGCGTGCCTGTGTTGAAGTCCCTTCTCCCTCATTCTCCTCTTGGGATTTTGACGTGCCTGGCATTGTTTTCTAGCTGCAGGATCTGGGGCTCAAATCATGCAGCCAGCCATGTGGCATCAAGCCTCCTGAACCACCATGCTAAGTTCTTTCTTTCTTTTTTTTTTTTTAAA